CACCCCAACCAGCCCACACCCCAACACCGCCCACACCCCAACACCACCCACATCAACACCACCACATATCAACACCACCACAGCATCCCCGACACCACCCACATAACCCAACACCACCTACATAACCCAACACCACCCACAATCCCAATCCACCCACACCCCAACACCACCCACACCCCAACACCACACATCCCAGCACCACCCACATCCGTAATCACCCACACATCCCAGTACCACCCACATCCCAACACCCCACACATCCCAGCACCACCCACATCAACACCACCCACACATCCCAGCACCACCCACATCAACACCACCCACATCCCAACACCACCCACACATCAACACCACCCACACATCAACACCACCCACATCCCAACACCACCCACATCCCAACACCACCCACACATCAACACCACCCACACATCCCAACACCACCCACACATCAACACCACCCACATCTCAACACAACACATCCCAACACCACCCACACACCCCCACCACCCCACACACTAACACCACCCACACCCCAACACCACCCACATATCCCCAACCACACCCCAACACCAAACACCCAACACCACCCACACAGCTCACCCACACACTCACCCACACACCCCAACCACCCACACACCCCAACACCACCCACACACTAACACCACCCACACACCCCAACACCCACACACCCCAACCAGCCCACACACCCCAACACCACCCACACAGCACACCACCCACACCCCAACACCACCCACACACCCCAGCACCACCCACACACCCCAACACCGCCCACACACCAACACCACCCACACACCTGACACCACCCACACCCCAACACCACCCACCCCAGCACCACCCACACACTAGCACCACCCACCCCAACACCACCCACACACCCCCAGCACCACCACACCCCAACACCACCCACACCCCAGCACCACCCACCCACACCACCCACACCCAACACCCCACACCCACAACCCCACGCCCCAGCACCCACACACCCCACACCACCCACACACAACACCGCCAACACCCCCAACATCCGCCGCGCCACCAGCACCATCCACACCCCATCACCACCACACACCCATCACCACCCACACACAACACCACCCACACACCAACCACCACCCACACACCCCAACACACCACACACACCCCAACACCACCCACACACCCCAACACCACCCACACACAGCCAACCCACCATCCCATCACCACCCACACACCCCAACACCACCCACACCACCACACCACCCACACCCCAACCACCCACACCCCAACACCACCACACACCCCAACCGCCCACACACACCCCAACACCACCCACTAATCCGAACACCACCCACACATCCAACACCACCCATATCAACACCACCCACACATCCCCAACACCACCACTTCCCAACACCACCCACTTCCCAACACCATCCACACTTCCCAACACCACCACATTCCCCAACACCACCCACCTTCCCAACACCACCCACACCTGCCAACACCACCCACACCTACCAACACCACCCACACCACACCACCACACCACCCACACACTAACACCACCACATTCACCACCCACACACCCCAACACCACCCACAGATCCCAACACCACCACAGATCCCAACACCACCCACAGATCCCAACACCACCCACTTACCCAACACCACCCACACCCACCAACACCACCCACACCCAACACCCACCTTCTTACCACACTCCCAACACCACCCACACTACCCATACCACCCACACACCCCAACACCACCCACACACCCCAACACCACCCACACACCCCAACACCACCCACACACCCCAACACCACCCACACACCCCAACCCACCCACACACCCCAACACCACCCACACACCCCAACACCACCCACACACCCCAACACCACCCACACACCCCAACACCACCCACACTCCCCAATACCACCCACACACCCCAACACCACCCACACACACCACAACACCACCCACACCCCCCCAGCACCACCACCCACACCCACCACACCACCCACACTGACACCACCCACACCCAACCGCCCACACCCCAACACCACCCACTAACCCCACACCCCAACACCACCCACACCCCCAACCACCCACCTCACACCCCCACCCCAGCACCACCCACACACCCAACACCACCCACACCCAGCCACCCACACCCCAACACCACCCACACACACCACCCACACCCCAACACCACCCACACACCCCAACACCACCCACCATCCCCACACCACCCACATATCCCAACACCACCACACTTCCCACCACTTCCCAACACCATCCACACTTCCCAACACCATCACACTTCCCCAACACCACCCACTCTTCCAACACCACCCACACCTACCAACCCTACCCACCAACACCACCACACCTCGCCACCACCACTTACCAACACCACCCACACCCCAACACCACCCACATCCCACCACCCACACACCCCAACACCACCCACAGATCCCAACACCACCCACAGATCCCAACACCACCCACAGATCCCAACACCACCCACAGATCCCAACACCACCCACACCCACCAACACCACCCACACACCCCAACACCACCCACACACCCCAACACCACCCACACACCCCAACACCATCCACACTTACCAACACCATCCACATACCAACACCACCCACACCCCAACACCACCCACACACCCCAACACCACCCACACCCCAACACCACCCCACTTCCCAACACACCCACACTTCCCAACACCACCCACACCCAACACCACCCACACACCCCAAACACCCACACAACCCCAACACCACCCAACCCCAACACCACCCACACACCCCAACACCACCCACACCCCAACACCACCCACACACCCCAACACCACCCACACACCCCAACACCAACCCCAACCCACAACCCAACCACACACCCCAACACCACCCACACACCCCAACCACCCACACAACCAACCACACACCCCAACCAACCACACAACCCAACCAACCCCAACCAACCCCAACCAACCCAACCAACACCCACACACCCACTCCCCAACACCACCCACACTCCCCAACACCAACACCCACACCACACTCCCAACAACACCCACACATCCCAACACCCACCCACAACCAACACCACCCACACATCAACACCACCCACACATTCCAACACCACCCACACATCCCCACACCACCCACACATCCCAACACCACCCACACTTCCCAACACCACCCACACATCCCAACACCACCCACACATCCCAACACCACCACACTTCCCAACACCACCCACATTAACACCACCCACACTTCCCAACACCACCCACACTTAACAACAACACCACCCACACCCCAACACTACCCACATATCCCAACACAACCCACACACCCCAACACCACCCACACTTCCCAACACCACTCACACCCCAACACCACTCACACCCAACACCACCTGCATAGCCCCACCACACCAGACACCCAACACCACCTGCACACCCCAACACCACCCACACACCCCAACACCACCCACACTCACAACGCCACCCACACACCCCAACACCACCCACACACCCCAACACCACCCACACTTCCCACCACCCACACTTCCCCAACATCACCCACACTCCCCAACACCACCCATATCCCACACCACCCACACTTCCCAACACAACCCACACTTCCCAACACAACCCACACTTCCCAACACCCACACATCCCAACACCACCCACACTTCCCAACACAACCCACACTTCCCAACACAACCCACACTTCCCCAACACCACCACACTCCCAACACCCACACACCCCAACACCACCCACACACCCCAACACCACCCACACACCCCAACACCCACACACCCCAACACCACCCACACACCCCAACACCACCCACACACCCCAACCCACACACCACCACCACCCATACACCACACCACCTAAACACCCCAACACCACCCACACACCCCCAACACCACCCACACACCCCAACACACACACACTATACTTTCAGTCACTCCAGAATCGAGTATGACAATCATCCAGCAATGATGACTCAAGGATGTCACGGTGAGCTCTGAGGTGATTCATGCCTACAGGACTGGCAGGGTCATCCACAGCTGCACTGCAGGAGGGGCCCTAGTGAGGGAGGACAGCGGCAGCATCTTTCCAGCGCTAGCGCTTGTCTGTCTCGGTATGCCTGTCGGGCTAACTTAGTATTGACACTCTGTGGTGCTCCTCCAAGTCATACGGTGAGTAATTGTAATCGTCTCAGGTGAGGGGTCGATTTGGCACTTTTCAGGTTTGTCTTAAGACTCATTCCAACATGGGTAAAAGTTGTTGTCCAGGCTAATCATGTTGGTCTTGTCTTCCCAGCGAACCTGGAGGAAGAACATAGACTACTTAGGTGAAATTTTTCAAGTGCCTTGAGGTACCTCCTGTATGTGACCCATGTCTTGCTGCCATATAGCAGGGTGGGGAAGATCACTAATCGATATACGAGGTCTGTCCAAAAAGAAACCAAATTTTTTAAAAAACAAATTTATTGCTTTACTTTCAACTTAATCAGACTTGTCTCCTTCAAAGTACCTGTACTCCCCTCCACTGTTGATACAACGCTCCCAACATTTTTCCAGTTCTGGAACGCAGGTCTCAAGCGAATTTTCTTCCATCTCTTCTATCGTTTGAAATCGGCGACTTTTCCTGGTGGATTTCAACTTTGGGAACAAAAAAATGTCAACAGGGGCCAAATCCGGAGAAATGGGTGGCTGGGGGACGATAGTCGTCTCATGCTTCGCCAAAAAATCACGGATAAGGAGCAACGAGTGAGCAGGTGCATTGACATGGTGCAGCATCCAGGTCTTGTTTGTCCACGCCTCAGGCCTTTTCCTTCGCACTGCCTCCCTCAAACGCTTCAGGACCTCCAAGTAAAACTCTTTATTGACTGTCTGACCACGTGGAACAAACTCATGGTGAACGACGCCCTTCCAATCAAAAAAGACGATCAACATCACCTTCACATTTGAGCGACTCTGACTTGCTTTTTTTGGTCATGGCGACGATGTTCCAACCTACTGCGACTACTGCCTTTTGTCTCGACATCGTAGCTGTACACCCACGTTTCATCACCTGTTATGACATTTTTCAGAAAGTTTTCATCAGCATTCGAACGATCAAACAGCTCCTGACTGACTGTGACACGGTTCTCCTTTTGCTCATATGTCAGCAGACGTGGCACAAATTTTGCGGCAACACGATGCATCTTCAGTTCTTTGGTTAAAATCGTGTGGCACGAACTTTCACAGATGCCTACTTCTTCAGAAACTTCATGGACAGTCAGGCGACGATTTTCATGGATCACAGCACGCACTTTCTCAACGTGATCGCCGTCCGTTGACGTGGAAGGCCGTCCAGATATGGGATCGTCTTCGGTGGATGTTCTTCCCCATTTGAAACACTGGTACCACACGTGACATTGTGTACGGCTCAAACAATCCTCCCCATAAGCCTGTTGCAACATTTGAAAATTCTCCTTAAAAGTTTTTCCCAATTTGAAACAAAATTTCACACAAACACGTTGCTCTTTAAGATCCTTCATTGTTCAACTTGCAACAAATCGCCAAGTGCACTAAACACACATTCACTCTAGCTCGTGTAGCTCGATGACTAATTGATGTAGCGTGATGCTGCTAGTGTTAGACTAAAGCTCACGGTCACCGCTACACAGCGCTCCCATCGCGAGCACGCTGCGCCTGCTCGTTGGCGCGCTATTTAAAAAGTTTGGTATCTTTTTGGACAGACCTCGTACATGCAACTTGTAGATAATTTCAGCTCCCTACAGCTGAAAACATGGGGACTGAATCTACCAAAGGCTTGAGATGCACATCTCATCTGATGTTGAATCTCTTCATCAATGTCCTTGGGTGGTGGACAGGTTGGAGCCGAGATAGTGAAAGTGGGTAACATTAGAGAGGGTAGTACAGTACTGTTAAGCTGGATGGATGATGAGGTGTGGCTGAACCAGGGGCAGGCTGAAAGAGAATCTTGAATCTTTCGTATATTTATCTCAAGGCAGAAGTGTGCATACGTATCTGCATAGGTGTTCAGGATCTCCTGTAGGTTGCGTTCAGTGTGAGCGACGAGGGTATGATCATCTGCATACTGAAGTTCAGTAATGGTAGCTCTTGGCACCTTTGTTCCTGCCTGGAGTCATCTTATGTTGAAAAGACCCTTCATCCTGTACTGGATATCCACCCCGCCGGCTAAATTGGCACTGGCACGAGTAAGGAAGGGAGTTGGTGCCAGTACGTATCCTTGTTTTACCCCTGTTTGGATGGAAAGGACTCAGATTGGGTGCCATTGTACAGGACACTGCCGTTCATGCCATCATGGAGTTGCCTTACAATGCTGATGAATTTTGGTGGGCAGCCAAAGGGCTTCCCTGTTGAATTGAGTTGAAGGCCTTGGTTAGGTCAATGAAGGTCATGTACAGGTCATAACGCTGCTCTCTGCACTTTTCTTGTATCTGGCGGGCAGCGAACATCACGTCAGTGGAGCCATGTGATGGTCTAAAGCCATACGTATTGACATTTTGTGAGAAAGTTTTCCACCTTAGCAAGAAGTCTGTTCAGGAGGACTCGGACAATAATCTTGCCAGCTACAGATTGCAGCAAGATCCCGCGGTAGTTGCCACAGTCTGACTGGTCTCCCATGTTCTTATAAATATTGATGATGGAGGCATCTTTAATAGCTTGGGGTATTTCCTCCTTTTCCCAGGAGAGAGTGGAGACGGCTGGTAAGCAGAGGTCCTCCTGCTTTATACACCTCAGCTGGGATTCCATCAGGCCCTGAGGCTTTGTTATTTCTTATCTGTTTGATGGTAGTAGCTATCTCATCGATGGATGGAGGACAGCTGAGGTGGGTCAGCTTTGGATGCTGAGGGACCTGCTAGGTAGTCAGGACATCCACATCAGTGTTTTGATTGAGCAGTGAATGGTAGTGCTCTTTCCAGTGATGAAGGATGCCTTCTTCATCTTTAATTAGGGAGTTACTGTTGGATGAGTGGAGGGGGTCTGTGTCGTAAGCGATTCGCCCTCAAAATGTTTTGGTGAAATTGAAAAATTCATGCATCTTGTGTTGATCTGTAAGTTTTTGCATTTTGCTTACTTTATTTTTCAACCACTTGTTCTTTAGATTGTGAAGTTCATGCTGGGCTGCCACTTTCTTCTTGCAGAAGGTATCAACTTTGATCCGAGACTGAGGGTTGTTCTTCCAGTCAATTAAGTTAGCACACTTATCATCGACGAGTACATTGACTTCCGGGTCATTTTCATCAAGCCAGTCCTGGTGTACACTTTTGATCTGGCCGAGGGTCTCTCTGCAGGTTTTTGTCATGACACTGTCGAGAATACCCCATTCAGCATTGGGATTTGGATTGTTTGTCAGCCCAGGTTCGAGCTGCTTTCTGAAAGCATGTGCTACCGCTGGATTTTCCAGATGTTCAATGTTAAAGCCTCTTTTGTAGGCTTGTTGTATTTGCCGTTTTGGGGTGTCGCTTAGTGAGAGTTTGGCTGTGACGAACCAATGATCAGTGTCACAGTGGTCTGAGCCATGTATGGCTCAGGTGATGAGGACATCTCAGCGATATCTATCTCTGACAATGATGTAGTCAATGAGATGCCAGTGTTTTGATCGTGGGTGTTGCCATGAACGCTTGAACTTGTCAGCCTGCCTAAACAAGGTATTGGTGATAGTGAGGTTGTGTGTAGCACATTTGCTGAGAAGGAGAAGGCCGTTGGGATTACACTTGCCTAGTTCATTTCTCCCTAGGATTCCCTGCCATATGTCAGCATCTCTTTCAACTGTGGCATTGAAATCACCTATGACCATAACCTTGTCTTCTCTGGGGATAGAGGTTAGCACTCTGTCAAGGTTGGAATTACGGTAAAGGCTTCCTTGATGCCATCCTCTGCATCCAGTGTTGGGGCATATGCACTGATGAAGAAGGTATGATGTGAGTGATTCAGTGGGACTCAGAGTGCCATGAAGCACTCGTTGACTCCAACAGGCATTTCAGTTAATCTGTTTAGGATGGATTGGCGAATGGCAAAGACAACTCCTAAATGCAGTTTCTCCCCACAGCAGGCTTGCCCTTCCAGAAGAAGGTATAGTCGGACCCCAGTTCTGTAAGTTGTCCCTCGTCTGGAAGCTGGGACTTAATAATGGCTGCCTTTTCGATGTTATACGTAGCCAACTACTTTACTACAAGGGCGATTCTTCCTTCAGGACGCTCATTTGTGCCAGTATCCAGAAGGGTCCTAACATTCCATGCAGTGACCATAAGAGGTTGTATAGTTTGAGTTTTGTTTTGATCTATTATTATGATTGTGTTTTTGACCATATAAGGATGACCTTACTGGATGCAGTTGCCCACTCAGGCTGGTTCTTTAGTCAGGCTATGTTTAGGGTACCTTTTTCTAGCCCGCCACCTCATGTGGGGTGAGCAGAGTGGATCCTCAAAAGGGCTGCTCAGTCACATAAACAGGACTGGATTGCACTGCTGCCTAGATCCCAGTGCATAAATGACCATTTTCTCTGTGCCGCCCATGTGCTGAGTTGTGACTAGAAACTCCTGGCAGTCATCTCTGCCTGTCCCCATTGCCACTCATCTGCTGCCAGAGGGCTTTTGGGGGTATAAGGGTTTTGATGATGAAGAAAGGTATGATGAGCTGGATGATGGCTGTGCATGAGTTGATTCATGTGGTGAGGCAGGAGTGCAGGCCGCAACCACACATCTTGGCTCTCCCTTTTCCTGATCCAGTGGTGCAAGTGTTGCAATGACTGGGTAGAGGGAGAGTTGTAATGGACTGCCGGTAGCTCAGTTTGCTAGGTTTCGCTTTAGTAGCCTGTCCATCACGCATTACCTTCATCCTCTGGTGTAGTTGTTGGGTTCCCATGTTGGTCACCTCCTCTGTCTATACTGCCATTGGGATCTTGTTGGAGCTCTGTAAGCATGTCTGCCTGATGTTGGGCTTCACCACAGGTTTTTCGTTCGGGGATTACTCCCGTAGCCTTATATCTACCAAGGTTAATCCGCAAGGCAGCGGGGCTGTGGTTGGTAGGCGCCATGACGTGTCCACATTACCAGTGGGCCTATGCGCCGTCTTTTTGGGGCCCACTACTGCTCCAAGATCCCCTGCGGTTCTAGCCTGGGCTCATGAGGCACCAAGTTACCGTGTGTTGCCACAAGGAGGCACAGCAGGAGTCTTGATGGTGAAGAGGCTGTGTACTGACAGGGGAAGACTTATGCAAGTTGTTTCCCTGTTTGCCATGAGGGCTCCCAGTAGCGTTAGCTGAAAGCAAGAGGGAGCAAGCAGTGTTTGCAACTTAACACTCAACATAATGCTGCCACACTAGATGCATTACACCACCCTGTGTGCTTAAACACACACACACACACAAACAAACAAACATGATAAAACCAGGGTTGTAGTGGTGCAGGGGCAGATCCAGGAAAACTAAAATGGGGGAGGGGGGGTCCAAGGAGATATGGGTGGGGGAACATGGCGAGCACAGTGAGCCCACCCAGCAAGGGGGGTTTTGGGGGGGTGCTGTAAGCCCCCCTCCCTCCCCCCCCCCAAAAAAAAAAATTAATAATTTTGAAATTTGACCAAAATACTGGGCAATTTGAGACCATTTTGAATCCATGTGCACTTGACATTAGGCAATATTCTGAGGTCAATAGTAATTACTTTTTACTTTACAAAAATTGCCTGAGTACACTCCAACATTAAAGATATTTATTTTTAATTTTTTACCCCTATGCCCCGGGCTAGGGTGGCACCGGCCGTACCCCTACACGGGGGTAAAATGAGAAAAATCAAGTTTTCCAAAAATAATTTTTGACCTTTATAAATGATAAACAATAACAAAGAAGTAAGAAAAACTTATATATTGTCCCTCTTAAAACTTCCCTGGTGCCTTAGTGACGAGACAAATAAGGGGAAAGTTGTTTTTTACGTCGAGCGTTCGCTGTCACAACACACTTAGGGGTCATTTTCCCCGCTTACGTTTGTGTCGAAAGTGGCCAATAATGCATATATTTACTCATCATAATACTTCTCTCCTATAAATAATTAATTTATAATTTATTTTGTTGCATTATTTTTCATAAAAAGTGCTCGGCGACACACAGCAGTCTGTCGCCAGCTGTCTGGCTTTGTCTGTGTCCAGTATGGCCAATAATGCATATATTTACTGATCACAATTTAGAATTAATTTTTTGCATTATTTTTCATAAAAGGTGCTTGGCGACACACATCTGTCGCAAGCTGGCTGGCTGGCTGTCTTTGTGTTTGGTATAGCAAGTAATACATAAAATATTAATAATTCTACAAATTAATACATTTATAACATAATCATAGTATTGTTTTCCAGTAATTCTACACTACAATACAACTACACAACTTTTAGCAATATTCCTTTGATACAACATGATAAAATAAACAAACCATGAAAATGAAACAAACAAAAGTAGATAATTATGTTCAGGAAGCTTCCCTGTGGCCGAGGTGTAGTGTGACAGGTAAATAGTCACAC